TTCTCATCAGATAATATCGAAACAAACAGGTCAACATGTTTTGTTTATTCAACTGTGCAGAAGCAATAATTATGTTTAGATAAGTCTGGCCTTGGCAACTTCTCTTCTAACGTTCCTATCTGTTTACCAAACTTATCGACTGAGGGCGGAACCAAAAACCCTCAGTGACTAACAGTTTCCGCCCGGACAATAGAAGGAGACAGACACACTTCCGTCCTCAACTCAGCTGTCTTCTCCCTGGAGAAACAGCGTTTTGGCTAAGAGATTCGAACCCACGAGCCACAGGGGAATTTCGACCGCCGCGGGACACACCAACACCTGGTGTGACCCAAAACAAGAGCTTAGAGCCTCACAAAGCAACTTTGTCTTGACTTCCTGTGGGAAGCAAGTTTTATTTTTGAATCGAGACCCAGTGAGCCTGGCCTCTTTTTAATGGCAGACGTGGACTGAAGCTGACGCTGAAAGAGTAAATCATGCCTCGGATGGTCCAAGTGAACAACAGGCTGTAACGGTTCCTTGCCACTGTTGGACCTCTCTAGATACCTGGACAGGTGACCTACATCATCTTAAAGGTTACATCTGGCTGTTTTTACTAAGTGTCGCTGGTCAGACGGACGTCAAGCGAGAGATGCCTTGCTCTTCAGGTTCCTCACATTCTTTAAAGATAAGATTATAAGTTAGGAAATAACCAATATCTAACTTTTCCTCCTTTTCTTGAACCCCTGCCTTCCCAACCTAAGTTAAGTGCCGCAAATGTTTAGTATTCAAGACCTAAGCTTGATATTTGCTGCTCCTATGTTAAGTGCTGGATTAATGGTTGGTTAAGTTCAGACACATGCTTATATTGTTGTTAATTCTAAACTTCTTATAGGAAATAAATTGTCACCAATAAGTGTAATGTAGTGATTTTGTTTGATTGTATAAATTAATGATCACATTTATTAATGGATCAACTCAAAATTCACTGAGCCACGTCAGCTGGTTCTGACGTTATCAGTGCATTAAATGGACATTATTAGCGGTTATCAGTCCCACAGAATGGCTTCAGACTGTCCCGACTGTGCCTTCTAGCAGGTTATCAGTCCCATAGAATGGCTTCAGACTGTCGCAACAGTGCCCCTAGTGGGTAACCAGTGCCATATACGTTGGAATGCAACAATCTGCTACTGCCGGAGTCTGGTCTACTTTATCGTAGCCCATGCCATTTTCTTTAAAATTAACCTTAGTGGCTTTATGCCTCATATTAACCAGCTGACAGTCTGAAGCTATTCTCTGGGACTGATAATGGCTAATAATGTCCATTTAATGGATGATAACATCCGAAGCCAGTGGCCACGTCACTTACTGTGTTTTGTCCATTCACTTTTGCACAGAAGAGGTGTTTACCAAAAACAAGACTTCTTCAGTGTGTCATCAAGGTCTGCAGAAGCTTACTAATTAGGCACTCCTAGGTTCAGCTGTGTTACACCAGGGCAGCTCCTAAAACAGGACTATTCAACTGGTGGCCCGTGGGCCACATCCGGTCCACGAGTGACCAAAGTTTGGCCCGCCAATTGGTTCATTCATCTCTTAAGCCCAAACCCCAGTTTTTTACTTTAATTACTCTAAGGATTTGGATGACAAACTGAACTTTGATGCCCACGTTAATTTACTGTGTAAGAAGGCCCATCAGAGGATGTATTTTTATCGGAAGCTCTGTGGTTTTAATGTTGATTCTACTTTTATGAGAACGTTTTATTCATGTTTTATTGAGTCTCTTTTAACCTTTACTTTTATCTGCTGGTATGGCACTTTAACATGTAAGAACAAAAACAAACTCTTGGGGATTGTCAGGATGTGCAGCAGAATTGCTGGAATTGACCAACAGAACCTCACTGACCTACATAAGGTCAGGTCAGTGAAAAAGGCCAGATTTATTTAGGCAGACCCTGATCACCCACTCCATGGTGAGTTCAGGCTGCTTCTGTCTGGTCGCAGGTATCAGTTGACCAACAGATTTAAAAACTCATTTATCCCAGCAGCAGGTAAATTTCTTAACGAACGTCAGTGATTTTTGTGTATGAATGTTTTTGTTTAGTTGTTTTTATGTCTACTGTCTGTACAACAAATTGCCCCTCGGGGATAATAAAGATTCTTGAAGTTATGTTCTTTTAGTTAAACATAGACATGTTTGGTATCTACAGAAACGTCAGAATCTTGGCTACAAGCTGGTAAAAAACATTTCTATGAACATTCAAGACAATTAAAACTACAAGCAGCTGAAGATAAAATGATGAAAGTGAAAATAAAATTGGTTTAAAATTTTGGCAAGCCAGAGATGTCAAAAATGATATTTGTGGTATATAAAAGGCGTAATGTGTTATTTTTGTTTTTATGTTGTTCTATTCTCACTACTTTTGTAGGGTTCTGTATGTTGTATTCATGATTAAATGCAGCAAAAATAAACTATTTCAAAGGTAACAGATCTTTATACTTGGTTTGTTTACAAAATGACTTTTTGTTATTTGAAGACTGTTTTGTTTAAATTAAATTTTTTAATAAAAGGGGCAGATAAAATATTTTTTTCTTCTTCTGCTACCTTTCATTTATGATTTATATTTTTATTGTAGATAGAATTTACTGTATGTTGTTGTTTTTTTTTTAAATAAAAATGAATGTATAAATAACTAAACTAAACTAATTGCTGGATGTTTGGCCCCTCAGCTGTTGGCCTGCTCTAACTGTGGCCCCCGGAGCAGTTTAGTTGAATAGCCCTGTCCTAAAACATGCAGTACACCGGCCTTGAGGACTGACTTTGGACACCCTGTCCTAGAGAGACTCCTGTTGACCCACCTGAGTAAGCAAACAAGCACACATCAGGACCCCCTGCAGTTTGCTTATCGTTGTGGATTTGGAGTTGACGATGCCATCATACACCTGCTTCAACAAACCCACTGTCATCTGGACAAAGCAGGCAGCACTGTGAGGATCATGTTCTTTGATTTCTCCAGTGCTTTTAACACAATTCAGCCTGAGTTGCTTTGTCTGAAACTCCAGAAGACTCCGGTGGAGGCCTCAACAATCGCCTGGATCAAAAAAACTACCTGACAAACAGACCACTGT